CGCGGCGCATCAGCTCAACCTTCACCCCCAAGTCTCTCGGCCAGCGATGTCCCCAGCCTTGCTGTGGACGGGGAAGGTTGGCGATGCGTCTGTGTTCCGTGTCTGGGGATCTCGGGCGTTTGTCCGCGACTTGTCTGCGGACAAGCTGTCCCCTCGTGCTGCTCCCTGTGTCTTCCTTGGCTTCCCCACTGACGCCCCAGGGTGGCAGTTTTACCACCCCTCCTCTCGTCGTGTTCTGTCCTCCCAGGACGTCACGTTCGACGAGTCAGTCCCCTTCTACCGTCTCTTCCCCTACCGCACTCCTTCCCTCCCCCCTCCCCTGGACTTCCTTGTGCCGGTTCCCCCCCCGGTAGACCCCCTCCCCCCTCAGGTTCCTGCCCCCTCAGGTGTGTCCCAGGTAGACGCCGTTGACCCGGTCGAGGTTACTGGTGACTCTGGTGCTGCTGCGGGTGCTGAGCCTGGGGGTGCTGACTCTGGGGGTGCTGTGCGCGGGGGTGCTGAGCCTGGGGGTGCTACTGCTGGGGGTGCTGGGCCTGAGGTGCTACTGCGGAGGGTGCGGAGCCTGGGGGTGCTGAGCCGGGGGGTGCTGTGCCTGGAGGTGCTGGGTCTGGGGGTGCTGGGTCGGGAGCTGCTGAGCCTGGGGGTGCTGAGCTGGGAGCTGCTGAGCCTGGGGGTGCTGCGTCTGGAGCTGCTGAGCCTGGGGTTTCTCCTGCTGCTGCGTCTCGCCGGGAGCCCCTCTCTCCACAGGAGCTGCGCGAGTGGTTCGCTCGCCGCTGGAGGCGTGCTGCTGAGTCTGGAGGTGCTGCTGGAGCTGGAGCTGGGGCTTCTTCGACCGTCGAGGGTGCGGGTGCAGCCGGTCCCGGAGCTGCTGGCCCTGCAGGTCCTCCTGGAGCTGGAGCTGCTGAGGGCGTTCGTGCTGAGCCTGCTGCTGTTGGTCCTGCCGCTGGAGGTGTGGGTGGCGCTGGTGCTGTCGCTGAGGGTGCTGGTGCTGTCCCTGCTGAGTCTGGAGCTGCCGCGCGGCCTCGACCGTACTTCGTTCCGCTCCTTCAGCAGGTTCTTGGTCTTTCTCCTCCAGTAGAGGGTCCACCGCCTGTCCAGCGCAGCCCCTACTGGAGCCTTCCTCTCCACTGCCTCCTCCCTCTCCTTACACTGGTCCTACTGGAGGTCTTGCTGAGCGTCGTGAGCCTGCGTCTCGTCCCGCGTCGCCTGTTCGTGCTGCTCGCGCTAGTGGTCGCAGTTCGCGTCAGCGTCCTCCTCCTGTCCCTGGCACGCACCGGATGTCTCTGCGTCCGTCCACTGCTCCTCTGCGTGCCCCTTTGCCTTCTCCTCCTGAGTCCTCTCTTCCTGCGCTTGCGGACCCTGAGTCGGACTCTCTTCGTGCTGCCAGTCCCACTGTCACGCGTCTGCTTGCTACTGTCGTCACTGACCCCTCTTTTGAGTCCACTGCTGCGTCTGCTCTAGTCGCTGAGCTCGTCGACTTTGCTGCTCGCTGTCGTCTCGACTACGCTGCTAGTCTTGTTGCTGAGTCTGCGTCTGTCTGTCCTCCGTCCGTCGGGGGTGAGTGTGCTCTTGGCACGGACGTCCTAGAGGACAGGCAGGAGGAGTTACAGTGTCTAGCGGCTGCTTCACCTCATCTCGCGTCTGTACTGCTTGCCCCTGAGGGAGACCCGGATGCACTAGACATCCCGACTCCGCGTTCTTACGCGGAGGCCGTAGAGGGTCCCTACTCCTCTCAGTGGCAGGCAGCTATGGATGCAGAGATGGCTTCCTGGAAGTCCACAGGCACCTACGTTGACGCGGTTCCCCCTCCTGGGGCGAACATCGTCAGTGGCATGTGGATCTTCAGGGTGAAGCGGCCGCCGGGCTCTCCACCTGTCTTCAAGGCACGGTACGTTGCTCGTGGCTTCAGTCAGCGGCAGGGAGTTGACTACTTTCAGACCTTCTCTCCCACCCCGAAGATGACTACTCTTCGGGTGCTGCTGCACATAGCCGCTCAGCGCGACTACGAGCTTCACTCTCTCGACTTCAGCACTGCGTTCTTGCAGGGTAGCCTGCACGAGGAGATCTGGCTTCGCCGTCCACCTGGCTTCACTGGGACTTTCCCTCCTGGCACCCAGTGGAGCCTCCGACGGCCAGTCTACGGTCTCCGCCAGGCACCGCGTGAGTGGCACGACACACTGAGGACTACGCTTGCGGCTCTTGGGTTTGCTCCTTCTACTGCTGACCCGTCGCTGTTTCTTCGCACCGACACTTCCCTGCCGCCGTTCTACATCCTCGTGTACGTCGACGACTTGGTCTTTGCCACAGCGGACACTGCTGGACTCGCCTACGTGAAGTCCGAGCTGTTGAAGAGACACACGTGCACAGACCTGGGTGAACTGCGCAGCTACCTTGGCTTGCAGATCACTCGGGACAGAGCACGCCGCACCATTACCTTGACTCAGTCACACATGGTGCAGCAGGTCCTTCAGCGCTTCGGCTTCACGTACTCCTCGCCTCAGGCCACTCCTCTGCCTACTCGCCACTCACTCTCAGCTCTGCCTTCGGATGAGTCCGTAGAGTCGAGTGGTCCGTATGCGGAGCTTGTTGGCTGCCTCATGTACCTGATGACCTGCACACGACCTGACCTTGCATACCCTCTGAGCATTCTTGCACGCTATGTTGCTCCTGGGAGACACAGACCGGAGCACATGGCTGCAGCGAAGAGGGTATTGCGCTACCTGTGCAGTACGTCAGGCATGGGGCTAGTGCTTGGAGGGCGGAGTCCAGTGGTCCTTACCGGCCACGCGGACGCTTCTTGGGCTGACGACCAGGCTACGCAGCGGTCGTCACAGGGTTACACCTTCAGCCTTGGTTCTGGCTCTGTCTCGTGGCGGTCTACTCGCTCGTCTTCGGTTCTCGGCTCCAGTTGTGAGGCTGAGATCTACGCCGGGGCCATGGCTGCACAGGAGCTTCGCTGGCTCACCTACCTGCTGACTGACCTTGGAGAGTCGCCTCGTTCTCCTCCAGTGCTGTACGTAGACAACAAGGCTATGCTGGCCTTGTGTCGAGAGCAGCGCTTGGAGCACAGAACGAAGCACATTGCTCTCCGCTACTTCCTTGCTCGTGAGCTGCAGCAGCGTGGTCAGTTGCGACTTGCGTACGTGGCCTCTGAGGCCAACACTGCTGATGTGTTCACCAAGGCACTTGCGCCTTGTGACCATCAGCGCTTCTGCACCCAGCTGGGTCTTGTGCCTGTCTTGCCTCACTTGCTCTCCTCTTGACTTCACTTGTACTGTGACATATATATATACGTGCTCTTGCTTGTCTAGCTTTATATATATGTCTGTACTCTTGCTTGTGAACTGGCCTTTGGCCTTGCTCTTGTGCTCGGACTGTGTGGTGACTTTGTGATCCACCCTGAGCTTTGCTTTGTCTTGCTTGACTGGTCTTGTGACCCCTTGTTCTCCCCCACTTTGCCTATGGGGGTGTGTCAGAACATATCTATAGCTTATACTGCTGTGTAGGGTGTAGTGGGGTATCCCATAGGGGGTACAACCCAGTTAGGGTTTCATATTTGTACTGCTTTCGTTCATAGTTCATTCATTCCTGTTTTCCTTTTTTCACACCAACTGCCACGCAATCGCCCAGCCAGCATGACACGACCACCAACTGAATCGATCATCACTCGCGAAAAAATCCTGAGCCACCGAGTTCGTGACCCTCGAGGAGCCCGAATGATCGAGTTCCTAATCCGTTGGAAAGACCGTACACCCACCGAAGACAACTGGGTTCCCGACAGAATCGAGAACCACCCCGTCCTCACTGAGTATCTGCGCAGCCGAAACTTTATGGATGTACACGCACTTTCGTAAGGAGGATCTCCTTAGGGGGGGGGGGGTAGTGTAAGGAAAATTCCTTTTCCTTACTTTGCATCCCTGCTCAACGCGTACATCACTGTAGCACCACAGTCAGCACCGTTACCACTCGCAACTCTCGCATCGCCAATCCTCCCGCCACCTTCGCACGTCGCACCCCGACCTCACGGCTCGGCGGGTAACCCGCCCTCCGGGCCTCCGCTTCGACACTTTTCCCAACCTCAGTCCCAGGCCCGTCGCGCGACAACCACAGTCCATTACCGTTACCACTGTAGTTTCGCTATATATTCTTCGCTCATAACTTCGCTCATTGTATTCTTGCTTCGATAGTGCAATTCTCGTTCGTTCACTCAATTGCACTCGTAACAGGTTGCAAATATTCACCCCTGATGTCACCTCGGCAGATATTTTTTGTAACAGATGTTTTATGGCAGCGGGCAGAACGATGGTTATTGTCCGCCCACTTTTTTGGAAACGCCACCTGATGAAGTGTATTCTTGAAGTTGTGGAAAGGCAGCTGAGAATATGTTTGGCTCTGAATTACGATTCGTGGATTAAGAATGCATTTCGCGGCTCGCGTAGCCCTGGGCATATCCAACAAAGGGGTTTACCTGTGCCAGTATGGGGGGGAGCCCTTGGAAATGTACACTGCAACGAGATTTACCGAGTCGCAATGCGCGTCGGATCAGCAGCGACTCGGATAACCACCAAGTTCCAACTCGACATTGGAAAAAGCACATCGGGGCGAAATCGCCTCGGGCGTGAAGCAACTGAGCAAGGTGTTCACTTGGCGCAAGCTGCCACTCCCAAGTACATTCTGCCCTTCACAAGCACACCCTGGTTGGTTGTAGCGTTTCCACCTCCAGCAATACAGCAAACTGGGGGCTGAGCTTGCAGAAAAGAACCCACATTGACAACCTTCCACCAAAACCTCTTGGATATCTTTTAACTCTCTTCAAGAAACTATCACGTACTCTTCCCAGCCCTGCAACCGAGTGCACCGTGTGCCAGCCTTGTCTACAGATCTTGTCTACTCGCGTTAACCTCTTCTGCTAACACAGCTATCCGCCACCAAGACTCGTTTCCTCCACTTTGGAGCTTTCCGCTTGCCTCGCATACAGGCTCAGTCTGCCGTCCACCACAATGAGGTCAATTGCGCCCCTACTACCATGTAAGCTTCAGCAGACGGATATAGCGTATTGGTTACTGATTTCGAATGCCTTCGTAATGTCGCACGGCATGCGTTCTTCACGTGACTGCTATCACGCTGCGCGCCAGCTGGTTCTCATGCGCGTTGCGGGACTATTGCATCTGCTTTTGAGGCGCCTTAAAAGTCACTGTCGTGCATAGTTACGCGCTATCACGTCGCGCACCAGCTGATGCTCGTGCTCGTCGCAGAAGTATTGCATTAAAGGAGTGACTTTTGAGTCGACTCAAACGTCAGCTCGTTGCAGAAGTATTGCGTTAAAGACACGCATGCTAATGATCTCATATCTAACCCTGGCGTCAGCCTTACGTGCACTCGTCACCTTTTCACTGACCCACTAAACTCGTTACCACCAATTCCCCACCTTGCACCCACGCGCAGGCCTGCTCGTGTGCTTTCTCGTGCTGGGAGGCGCGCCAAAGGCGAGCGCGCAGATTCCAGAAATCAACATCACGGCCATCACGGATTTCCTCAACGAGTTCTTCGCGGCCCTTCAAAAGGACGTGCAGAGCTCCTTCCCCGGCACCAAGCTGTGTACGTTGCCCCTTAGTTCTGCGGTTTAAATGTGACCTCTGTTTTGCAATGTTTGCGTTTCCTGAACTAGTCCTGAACTGGCCCTCCGAGAAGGCGTGCAGAGCTCCTTCCCTGGCGTGAAGCTGTGTACTTTCCTTCTCTTTCCTCTCACTCAGTGGATGTATTGCCATATGCTTGCCTAGCTGTGTCTTTTGATCCCTCCGTTCTCTCGTATTCCGTGGATTCCACCCTCAGACGTGCTCGGGCGGAGAACACGGGCGATTACAACGGCGCGAACGATGAAATCATAGCTGCACCTTTTCATCCCTCCCTTATCTCGTGCTCCGTCGATTCCAGACGTGCTCAAAGGGAAGGCGGAGAACACGGGCGACTACAACGATGTGGATGATGATGATGATGATGGTGACGACGAGAAAGAAGGCAAGCTCGAAATCACCAAGTACACGTAAGTAACGCTCAGGATGCGGGTCTTGCGTGTCGATTCTGTGCCTGCCGTCGTCTTTTCTATATATCTTATCTTTCTTCTAATTGCAACGTAACGACATGCTAGGAGGACGGAGGCTTCGCAATTTCATTCTGCTCAACATGTTCATAATGCTTGTTCCTACTCTCAGGTACAACAATATCACTTCTTTCAAATTCGAGACTCAATCGGGCAACAAGATCAAATCAGTGACGATTCGTAAGGGCCTGCCAACGACGTTCGGGAAGGTTGTGCTGGTGGTTCCCGGCACTCCCGCGAAGGATGATGAGGAATACACCATGACGTCATGGATCGTGAACGCGTCCTACGTGGCAGCTTACAACGGCATGAGCGTTACAGGTGTGATTGATGACGTGTACAAGTCACCGTACGCGTATTATGTGAACATGACGACGAGCAAGGGGTGGCGGCGTGGGCAAATGTACAAACCCCTGTTCTGCTTCTGGTGTGACTACTAATTTTGATCCTTCGCGTCTACCTTGCGATCTGTCCGTCACGAGGGTGTATCTACTTAGTTTCCCAGTTCGTAAGGGTCTGTAGGTGGGTTACGATCTAAGTTGCTATTGTTTCTTGTTCCTACTAGTTTAGTCCAATCCAAAAGGGGCGGAATGCATTTGCTCCATTGGATGGTTCCTTGTAATTTGTGTCTAATCAGCCTAAATGTTTGATCCAGGTGTACTAACCAGTGTCAAAATCGTTCTGGGAGTGAGATCCAGGTGAATTTGACATGAATGGAGCAATACTGACCCATTCCAGATATGCTTAGAGATGCCTGTTTCACTCGTGGGAGGAGCTACTGTTGTCCCAGAGTACCCAGCCCTACTACTGAAGATGCAGAGCAATGAGAAATTCAATGAGTGCGCTTTTTCGGATGCAATTCTTGATATGTTGTACGGTACCACCACCTACCTGTGGCCGTGACGCGACAGGAGTGAACTGAACCGGCTCACTGATCTCAACGAGTGACCTCTCAGTAGAGGCCCGATTTGAATGAGCGAACCCGCTCACTAATTTGAATCATTTAACGCTCACTGATTCCAGTGATATGAAATGATGCAGTTACTAAGTACTATGTCTGTTCGACTCTGCCATGGCGGCAGCGCGGCCAGCAGTTCGCCCACTTTCCTACACTCGCTCTGACCAGGATCCGGATGCCATTCGCCTGTCACGGTGCCGATCTCGGTGCAAAGTGGGGGAGTGGAGCCGAGGATTGGCCTGCCTTACAGCAGGGGAGTTGGCTCGACCGTCTGAGGTCATGGTGCGGTCGCTGCGAGAGAAGCACCCGGCTAGCGCAGGTGAGGTACCACAGTGGGTCCGCGATTTCACCATCGATACCGCTCAGCGGCCTTCATTCACGACCGACATCCTGGCCAGAGCTATCCATACAGCCGCTCGAGCCTCAGCAGCAGGGCCATCGGGGTGGGTCACAGAGCATCTGCGTGACACCTTCCTCACTGAACCTACCTGCCTTTCCCACCTGTTGGAAGTGTTCAACCAATGGGTGGCGGGACAGGTCCCCGAGCGGGCTCGGCCGTGGCTCGCCGCATCCAACCTAGTCGGGCTTTCCAAGCCTAACGGCGACGTCCGGCCGGTGAAAATCGGGGAGGTGCTTCCTCGTATCCTTGCTCGTGCTCTCTGCATCTCGCTCCGCCCTGCGATGGTTTCCTACTTCCTGCCATGCAACCAGCTGGGAGCGGGCACTAGGGTCGGGGCGGAGATTCTCACTCATTCTTTCCGGTTAGCGCTGGCCACTCACCCCGACTGGTGTGCGCTATAGATAGACGTCGCAAACGCCTTCAATTCGTTTCACCGTCATGTGATGTTCGATGGGCTGCGGGAGTCGCCTTTCTCAGGGATGATCCCATTCTTGCATGTCTTTTATGGGACACCGAGCGACCTGTACCTCCGAGCAGGCCCTTTCGTACATAGCCTCGAGTCAGCACGGGGATCGAGGCAAGGGGACCCGCTCAGCCCTTTTCTTTTCGCCTTCACGCAGCAGCAAGTGATGGAGCCGATTATTAGGGAGTTCAAGGACCTGCTTTTCCTCAGCTATGCAGACGATACCTATATTTTGGGGCCAGCGGTTAGGATTCTGGAGGCTTTTGGGGTGCTGCGGGAGCGGTTGGAGTGGGTGGGGCTGGAGGTGCAGGCGCACAAGTGCCGGTTTTGGGAGCGCGAGGGCAAGGGGGTAGAGCGGGCACTGCAATTGGGGATGCAGCGGGTGGATGAGGGTCTTACTGTGGTGGGCGTGCCTATTGGAAAGGAGGTTTGGGAGGTGGTGCGGCTACGGGAGCGGCTTCGACAGTTGCAGGCGCCATTGCCATGGCTCCCCTTGCTCGACCACCCCCAGACGGCTTCACACCTCCTCGCCATTGCAGTTTCAGCGCGGGCGATGTACCTCGCCCGGACTATGCCGCCGCGTCCGGAGGTGGTTGAGGCTTTTAGGGATTGGGACAGTTGTTTAGAGGATTGCTTTGAGCAGCTTTTCCCACCTGGCACTTGGGAGCAGGACCCTGACCGGTCTAGGCGCGCACGCATGCAGCTGCATCTCCCTGTGCGTCTCGGTGGGTTCGGGATCCGGGCGGCGGCCTCTTTGAGCCCACTGTCCTATGTTTGCGGGTGGGCGCAGGCCGCGCGGGACATTGCACAGTTAGGGGTGGCGGGCGAGGAGGCGATGTTTGATGAGTACCTCACCTCTTCGACAGGGGCAGAGTTTCTTGACCCGTGGTTTGTCAAGGCTCTCGAGCAGCTGCCAGCGACTATCCGCCACGAGTGGGGCATTGCTGCTACTATACGGCTCGGCCTCCCAATTCAGCAGCTGCAGGTGGCGGGGAGGTGTGTTTGTGGCACAGCGTATGTTGACCCAGCAGACCCGCACCATGCCCTAAGATGCAGGCACCAGCATGGTCCTTCTCGGGTGCATGATGAGGTGAAGTTTGCGGTGGCGAAGATCTCTAAGGCGTCGGGGGGGGGGGGGGGTGGTGACATTGGAGGATAGTGTGATGCTGCAAGGGAAGCGGGTTGATGTGGCGATGCGACGTCCAATGGCTGGAGAGGCTCACGCCTTAGAGATCAGCGTCGCGGACCCGCTATCGCTGTCTCCATCACTGCTGGGACAGTGCGGGCGTCAAATAGGTGTGGCGGCAAGGGAATGGGAGCGTCGCAAAACGAGTGATTACGCACCTCTGCTTGCACGCAATCGGGGCGTGCAGTTCACCCCTTTGATAGTTGAGACGTTGGGGTGTCTCGGCTGTCGTTTTCAGCGGTGGCTTCGTCAGCAGGGGGATGCGCACGTGGGGCTAGCTGTGTCGCGGGGGGCTTGTCGAGAGGACGACTCTGTGTTTTCGGCTTATCTTTTAGGGTCACTGAAGGCGCTCATCGGGGTGGCGTTACAACGTGCGCAAGCCCGTGTCGTCCTCCTTCGAGCGGCGTCTTCCATGGGGGGGATTAACATAGAGTTGGCGGATTGGGAGAGGGACGATGTCGATGTGGAAGGCGGGGCTCTCTGGGTGGAGGCCCCGTACATGGTCGATACGTTGATGTGATTTGGGGGGGGGGGGAGGGGGTGGGGGGGGGGGGGGGGGGGGGGGGGGATGGGGCGTGGGATGGGATGTCTTGATGGGGTGTCTTGACTGGGCGTTTTGATTGGGTATCTTGAGGGGGGGCTTTATGTGTGTTGCATTTGGGTTCTTTTTGGGAGTTTCATTTTCCTTCTCCCTTTCTTTCTCCATTCCCTTTCCTTTTTCAGACACATTGAGGCTTCATGAGATTGCCAGCCTACAAATGTTAGAGGAAAGCGATGCGAAATCAGCGGAAAGACGTGCAAGAGACCAGGCTGTTGTATTCTGATATTTGAGAATGATTATCACAATGGATAGCAAAAAGGAAAAATACTCGGTTCAGGGGCAGATAAGAGGTTTGTTGTCCCTCTGTCTTGATATTGTAACAGCCGAGTTTCAGTCGTAACGAAGTTTTGTAAGTCGAATCCGCCGTCACGGCAGACCGCTGCCAGCCCATCTCCCACACAGCCTGACACGCTCGAAGGACGTCTGTCATTGTTTGAAATGCTGTGCTGGAATACAGTGGATTGGAAATGGTTGTACCTGGTCGAACCGCTCAGCGCATGAAATTTGTGTTTGAATCTAGATGCGCTGAATCGAACTCCCGGCCTTTTCTCCCCGTTCGCTACGCTTTGCTGCTGGGTTGGATTGGCCTCTGATTGCTGCCATTCCCGACTCGGGGATTTCGAGCCACTGAACTGTACGTACCGGAACATTTGCCTCCATGAAACCATTTGCTGGTGCCCGTCTAGCAGCTCATTGGGAAGCAAGCATTGCAGCCGAGCTTGATTGGATACAAGACGATCTTGAAACTTCTTGCAGCAGGAGGCAGCACATTAGCCCTTCTTGCCCGTTGCCCGAATTTAGACCTAGAAGAAACAAATTCGACCAACCTAACCCAGAACAGAACAGAGCAAGCCTTCACTAGTGCTCCATCCACACAAGCAGCTAACCTGCCATTGCTGAAATCCCCGAGCCCGACTCGACTGATGCAAATTTTTGTCGGTATGACAAAGCTCTCCTCCACATCAGGCGATCCCATGATGACGGAGGGTCGTCCTCGCAAGCCGCAAACTTGTACAGCCGTAGCCATTATTCTCTGAATCGGGCCACTTCGCAGCTGAAACGCTGAACGCTCATCGAGTTGCTCACATCCATCCATTACAATACCCTAGATTGATTAACAGTCCCCCCGTCGCAGATGAGCTGAATCTTGACACATCTCCAAATCTTTTGCGGCGGATCAAGGTCAAGCGGCGTCGTGCGGATTGGAGGGAGGGATGGGGGATGGTCGACGGAAAGGCGAATGGGTGAAATCGCCGACTGGTAGAGAGGAAGCACGGACGGATGGGGATTGGGTGAGCGGGAAGGGAAGTGGTTTGACGAGACGCGCGCACGAGCAAGCGCGCTCGTGGCGGGTCTCGTCGCCGGGATGACGCAGCACGGTAGTTTTCGCAAACCTATCTTCTGCTCACCATCCCCATAAATCTTCCACTCCAAACCCACATTGGTACAGGCCATCGGGTCTCTCGTGGCTTCGTTCCCTCCCGCTTCTCAGCAGGGCGTTCTGTAACCCTAGCCCGTTCCCTCCACCTCACCTCACTGAACCATTCGGGAATCGGGAGTCAAGATTTTGATTTCACCGGCGTCAGGGAAGGGAGCTAGTCTGGAAGGAGACTCCCGAGGCAGACTCTTGCCCTAGTACTAGCTGGGACTTTACTGGAACTCTTATCTCGGCGTCGCTCCCAGTCGCGTAGCCCCGACGGTCCTTCCTTCCCCCCGCCGGAGTCCGGCATCCGCCGTTCACCGCATCCGCAGCGGTTTCGCCGCCGCGCCGCGCGCGCACTAATCTCACCGTCATGGGTGCGGATGTGGAACATGAGTATAAGGTGAACGTGCCGGCTATTTCGCTCAAAGACGAGGTGATTGAGACGGCGCAGCCCTTTCGCCAGCTGCTGGTCATCGAAGAGGACCCTTTCCGGGATTACCGCGGCAAGAGCGCGGGCGAGCGCGCCAAGTTGGCCCTGTTCTACCTCTTCCCGATCCTCGAGTGGGCCTCCAAGTATAACTTTAAGGCGCAGTTCTTCGGCGATGTCGTCGCCGGTCTGACCATCGCCAGTCTCGCCGTTCCTCAGGTAACCCTCGTTACACGTTTCGCACCCAAGGCGACGCGAAAATATCGTGCCACGTTCGTCTTCTTAGGTTAGGTCTCATTCCCGTATATAGCTCCTCGATCGTAATCCTCCTGTCGCCACTGAAATCCTCGGCCTGTTCTTCCGCTGTATTAATGCGCACTGGTTCTTACTCTGCTCTGCTTATGCGCTCTGCTTGTGCTCTTTCTCCTCTCAGGATCTGGGCTATGCGGGACTCGCCAATCTCCCTCCTATCAATGGCCTCTGTAAGTCGTCACGACGCTGCACGTATAATTCCATTGCGTCTTTTCCCGCAACTGGTGTGTGCCAGAATCCCGGCGGTTCATCCAATCTCCTCGCGTTCGACTCGTGCCTTGATGTGTTTCACCTATGGCTGTCGCGAGCTATGCGCTCTATTCCGCCAGACCTTCTTTCAGTCCGCTCGTCTTTCCCTGCACGAGAAGTCTACTCGTCTTACTGCGTCCCGAGCTTTTCTTGCGCCAGCTTCAACCAACCCTTTCCTTTCTATCCCCCTCCCATGAACCCTAACAGACAGTAGTTTCCTTCCGCCGATTGTTTACTCCGTGCTCGGTACTTCTCGCCACATCGCCATCGGTCCCGTCGCCGTCGTATCGCTGCTGCTCGGCGAATTGCTCGTCGACTATTATGACCCGGTTAACCAGGCGAACCAATATCTTAACCTCGCGATCACGGCGACGTTTTTCGCCGGGATTTACCAGCTCGCGATGGGCATATTCCGACTCGGATTCATCATCGAATTTCTGAGCCACGCCGCGATTGTTGGGTTCATGTCCGGAGCCGCGATCACGATCGCGCTGCAGCAGCTGAAGGGGTTACTCGGTTACTCGAAATTCACCCAGGACACGGATATCATCAGCGTGCTTTCGTACGTCTTCAAGAACACCAACCAGGTTCGTCCCTCGTCAGCCTCTCCTCCTGCCGTGGTCTCCTCCTACCTTAAAGTCTGGAAATTCGTTTCCATGGTTTCGGTAACTCTGATATCCGCAGTCCAATCGAGAAAAGGTTCCTCGTTGACTCGTCTCCTCCTCACTTCCTTCCCCCCCCATCGTCCCGCTGCCATCCGTCCCGCAGTTGAACTAGAAGGCCTTAGTAGTTATCGGTTTTATCGTGCTCGTCTTTCTCTTTGGCTACATCATGCTCCGTTCCTGACTCTTCTCTCTCTCTCTCTCTCTCTCTCTCTCTCTCTCTCTCTCTCTCTCTCTCTCTCTCTCTCTCTCTCTCTCTCTCTCTCTCTCTCTCTCTCTCTCTCCCTCTCTCTCCCTCTCTCTCTCTCCCTCTCTCTCCCTCTCTCTCTCTCTCTCCCTCTCTCTCCCTCTCTCTCTCTCTCTCCCTCTCCCTCTCTCTCCGCAGTTCAACTGGAAGGCCTTTGTCGTCGGCTTCAGCGTGATGGTCTTCCTCATCACCCTTCGCTACCTGGTAAAGTCGATTCATCGCTCCTTCTTCCCATCCCCTGTGCCTGAGAGGGAGACGTGCTCGTCTTCTTTTTCATTCTCCGGTACTCTCGCTCGCTCGCTTTTCATTCTTTCATTCTCTCTGGTCTCCTTCCTCTTCACTCACCATTTCCCGGTACACTCGCTACGCCCTTTCCCCTGTTCCCCCATGCCCAACCCCTGCCCCCATCGCGGTGGTCGTCGCGGCTCTCTGGTCGCTCACGCTGCTCTCCCCACCCCTCCGTATCCCCCTCTCCAGTCGTGGGCCTTCGCCAAGAAGAAGCCGCTCGGAACCGTCTTCTTCTACCTCAACTGCCTGGGCCCGTTCATCGCGGTCGTCGTCGTGACGCTCTCCGTGTGGGCCGCCAAGGCCAACAAGGCCATCCCGTGCGTGAAGGAGATGCCCAAGGGGCTCGCAAGCCTCGGATCGCTCAAGCGCCTGCAGCTCACGGGGCAAGACGCCGCGGATGCCGCGATCGTGGGGCTGGTCTCGGGACTCGTCGCTCTCACTGTAAGCCGTTTGTTAAGCTGTAACCCTAAATTCCTGTTTAATCGGGTGCGGCTCAAGCATGCACATAATATTTCCGTGGCTCAATTCCTTCACATCACGCGCACGTGTATTGTCTCGACCCTTCGACCCTTAAAACCGGACTCTCAAGTATCCCGAGTTTGCCTCATCCTTCCTACCTTTGGTTTTGTCACAAAGTCCAACCAAGCTTCCTACCTTTGGTTTTGTCACTAAGTCCAACCAACCTTCCTACCTTTGAAACCTGTGGACCCTGGGTTTTAACTAAACCCTAAAAATGTACTTATGTGTATCCTGTCGGCCGTTCCATTGCAGGAAGCGTCGGCCATCGCGCGTACCTTCGCGTCGCTGGAGGGATATCATATCGATGGCAACAAGGAGGTATGTATGGTGCCGTCTGGGGTGTAAACAATATGCGTGAATGGGGTCACGTGTTGAGCAGAGAATAACCGCCTCCAACATCTTACCGTTGCCTGTTCTGATGGTCAAAATATTCACTTTCGCATGGTGACGGTGTCAAGATTTTGCCTCCGTTTTGGACATCATGATATCTGCATTTGCACCCATTTTGCCAAAATCTCGGTTTCCCTATTTGTGGACGTGTTCTTGTAATAATTCAGATGATTGCTCTTGGCGCGATGAACATAGTTGGCTCCTTCTCCTCCAGCTATGTCACCACTGGTATGGTCCCGTTATCCTGTAATAATTCAGATGATTGCTCTTGGCGCGATGAACATACCAGTGTTTTGTTTCCCCTTTTTTTTCTCGTTATCCTGTTCTTCCTTTTGTTTTTCAATCTTTCGCATTCGTAGGTTCTTCGTCTGTGCTGTCGACATCTAAGTGCTCTCGTCCTCG